CAGATGGAGTTGTGCTAAATAAATGATGCTCATACAACGATATCAAATTCCAGTGCATTCAATTAGCTGCAAAGTGCGAAAGTAGTGCCTTAAGAGCAATAACATCTTTATGCCGTGTGTCTCTGTTTTGCCGAGTGCTTTTTCCTAGTTTGCCGAGTGGTCTTTTTTCAGCACTCGGCAAAGAGTTTGGTATGCCGAGTGCCATTATTTTACCGAGTGTGGTTTCTGCAGCACTCGACAAACAACTTTTTTTGCCGAGTGACTGATGAAATGCACTCAGCAAATATTTTGGCACTCGGCAAATCACCTGTTTCCGGTAGTGTATCCGCAAATTTGATCCAATGAAATGAAAGATAAAGCAAATACTCATCATGGTTCTCAACATTTAGCAGCAGTATAGCGTCAATGAATTATTTGTCAATATAATGCATAGGTAGCTAATCTCACACACACACAAAGAAAAAGCATACCACACAGGAGCACAGCACCAGCAACGAGATACTGCATGAGGAGAGGATCTCAAGCAAGCAGAGGTGTATGCCAACCCAGAACCACTAGTTAATGATCCGCAAGCTCATGCTGATACTAAAGCTGATGACCGATGATTTCCTCTCCTTGTTTATTTATTCATCCTCTCACACACGTACAATCACAGCAAAGTCTCGCTCACGAAATGCAATGGATCGGATAGCAGCGCAGCTGCCGAGCACACACAATTAAACCAACATCTCTGGCACACGAAAAATCAAGCAAAGGGAGCAGACGAGTGCCAACATAAAACACTAAAACTCAATAACCTGAAATACTGAATCAGGATAGGTTTAGTAACTACAACTGAAACTAGAATACCCAAAAAAAAATTCAACCCACTGTGAATACTAAAAACACTACAGATCCGAGCTAGGTGGACACTAAAAACAACATAGATTCACAGTAACTTAGAGCACAGCACATAGATTAGGGATATGAGCATCAGATTTTTTTTTTGCATAATTCAGGGGAGGGAGACAAGGCATGGGATCGTGTTAAAAATACCTTTACAATCCGATGAATCAAGAATAATAATATGCAGAAACAACTATCTGATTGATAGACGACTGAATAAATTTAAGGAAGCATTGCCTGCGCATGGAAAACCAAAACCGTTCAGAAAACAAAAAAAAGGAAGCAAACTACAAGCACATAGGATTCGGATAGGAGGGAGAGTACATGCGCTGCGAAAACAAAAGCACAAACGAACTCTCAAACAACGGCGCGAGTTGGAGGACACAAACCAGATCTTCCACCGGACGATTTGGGGAAGGAGATGAATCGACAGACACCAAAACCAAAACCGATGATAAATCGATGCAGAGGATAGGGGAGAGGCGCTACAGCATAGGCACTACCAAGCGGCTACAGCCAAAAGCGGCGCATCCCACCCTCTGGAAGATGAACAGGAAGCCCAAGGAGGGAGAACGACGGGAGTGGGATGGATACTCGCAGAGAGGAAGAGAGAGAAATGAATAAAATAACACGGGTAGCAAACGAAAAGAGTCCGCGGCGAAAACGCAATAGGTGCGGAGTTCGAAAAATTTGGGTACCTAGATGTATTCAGACCTGATTAGATACAAAGCCTTGTACAATAATCGAATCAGACTCAACGAGAAACTAGGCCACGAAGACAAACCAGCCCACAAAATACACAAAAGCCTTGTACAAAATAATTGACTGACGACAAAACCAAAAAACAGCCGATAGACGGTTAGAAATTCCGGAAGCATTGAGATGAACTTCTTAGGCAGTATCTCTTTTTAGATACTGCAAATATCGCTAGCCTCAAACAACAACTAATGATGATCAATGTACCAGACCACGCTATTGCATTGTTAAGAAGCATATGACTTAGGCTAATCATCATCTCATGTGATTAGGCCAGAGGCCTAGAGCAGTATTATTAGCATTTTCATCTTTAATCATCATCTTGACCTGCAACAAGCACCACAACGCAATGACGCATGTACATGCATCAGAAGAAAAGAGAGTCAAACAAATGGCGAAGAACTTCCCACAATTAATGCGCAACTCGTGAATTGTTGCGTCATCAGTAGCGTGACATGAAGCTCGTCGGATGGTTTATTGGTTAACAAATTATTACGAGTAGGAGGTAGCGTAAACACCCGTGCGAATGCGCATCTAAGAGTAGAATACAATAGTGCTATTTTCATCTGTACTTAACCAACCTTGCAAAGGCTGGAGAACAAAACGCCATGAAACATTATACTTTTTTTATATGCTATATATATACGTCATGAAATAAATAATAAAGCAGGCCAAATAGCACCACCTTCCACAGTCCTCTCGCTCGTGACTTGTTACGCTCGAGGGTTGCATTGCGAATGGGGTCCGGCCGATTGGTCAAAGTTTTCTATTTTTCTGGGGACCTCCTACTTGACGACGAATGGGGTACCTTTATTCATCTGTAACTAAAAGGCTCGTAAAACACACACATTCAGCCTGTTCGGTTGGCTGTTTCGTATCGTTATTGGTTCGTTTATGTGAGAGAGAAGTACTGCTGACCGGTTCGTGTGAACAGTACACATGTGAGGGGGCTGGCCAGCCCAGCCTGCCCCAGCGATCAGGCTGATTGATGACGCTTATATTGACAGACAGCAACGTGGAAAACAATGTCGAAGCTTCCGTTTCAAAAAAGAAAGAAAGAAAGAAGGTTGAAGCTGTTTTGAGAAAGGTGCAGGATTCCTGTGCTCTCGTCGTTCGTTTGGTCCTGCGATGCGCCTAGAACAACAAGCTGACCAGTGACGAGACCGAGAACCATCTGGCTCCGCCTTTCGTTCTTAAGGGCACGCCCGACGCTAGCTAACAGCCCCGTATGCCCCAGCTGAATCCGATCGGTCCACGCACGCATGCAAGCAAACACCAGGGAGGTGCATCCCCCATCACGAGTAGGGAGATGAATGCTGTATTGTCAAAAGCTTTTGACAGTGTATGCAGCGGCCTTTCCTGCTTTCATTGCTCCCCAAGCAGCTAGCTACCTTTCCTCTCCAATGCGTTTTTCACTGGTGGCGGCTTCTTTTTTGTCAGTTGAGATTACCGACTCCAGGAGGCTATGAGCACTGTGAGACCACCACTCTTGATGACATGGAGCATGGACGCCTGCACGGACGATGGGACAGTACGTCATTGGGGAAGCTCTTACAAGCCTGTACTACGTACTACGTACGCTCTTCCTGCTAGTTCAATTGGCACGCACGCGAATTTCGAAATTTGACAAACTGGTAGAAGAAATGAGAGGAGAGCGCACACGGAGCCGAGGTGGCAAGCGCGGCGGCGGCCATGAATTGAAAGCAGGCAGGATTTGACTGGAAAGCCGCTGCCGCGGCGGCGGTCGGTCGGGCGTCCCCGAAAGCTGACGAACCACGACGACGCGGACGTTTTACGAACTCGAGGACTCGGGGTGGGGGTCGCCGTGGGCCCTCGATCGGCAGGCGGCTGCTGGTCTTGCCAGTCGGGCATATTCGCCGTGGAGTGGAGAGGGAGAGGGAGAGAATGTGTGGCGCATATTCGTTCCCCGTGGGCAGGGTCATCGGAGATGTGACGAAGCTAGAAACCCAAGGAACGGACAGGGTCACGGTAGCATAGATCTGCATCTGCCACGGTCACATGCCCAAGGCCTGAACCTGAAGACGAAGATGCCCTTGGCAACTGGGCAAAGGAAGAACACGTGCCCTCTCGCTCTCTCTACCACGTGGATGGATTGGGATACGATACAATAAGGACGTGCTGCACGTATCGTCGCTCGTCCACACAGACACGAGTGACGGGCCATGCTGAGTAAGCCTGCAATGCAAACTCGAGTGTGCGCCTAAAATAACGCACGAGCAAAAGGCAGTTCCATTCCATCCACCACGTCGATGCGATGCCAGGACACTGCTGGGCGTCGGACAACCACGACCAAACAGGGACCTCGCCGTCAGCGGGCCAACACTTGGGCCCGTCCGCAGCCAGGATTTGAGTATAGAAAAACTGTTTTGGCAATACTGACGGTAACCACACGTAATAAAATAAGCACGTGCGAGCATATACACACACACACGCATATATGTGTATTGAGTTGGCAAGGGTAAAGAGAATAACTAAATCAAGATTTGTTCTACGATACAAAAGAAAATTAAAAGTATAAAATAATAGTAAAAATTATAGAGAAAAAGAGAAGGAATAGTTTAGTTGTAAGTCTTTAATCTCCATTTGACTAATTTAATTTGCACACACAAAAATCACTGTATACTAATTTAATTTGGAAACGCAGGATAGGTGAGGGGACTTTTTTTTCTAAACCGTTGATCAGAAATTCACCTTACCCAGGATTTGAACTATACTAATTTATAGTTATAGTTATAGATATAGATATGATATGATATGAACAAGCCCATATACTAATTTATAGTTATAGATATAAATATTATATTCTATGATATGATATTGGATATAACTTCCTTTTCTCACTTGGATTTCTTTATCGGCATCATTGTTTGTTTGCAAAGAAAGAAATGGAGAGGAAATATGCCTTTCTTCTTCTTCTTGCGCCACAAGCCCACAATCCACGCGCGCACAACGAAACGCACCTACCCCGAGACGAACATATCCCTCCATGACACGTGGGCCATCATATTTTCTGGGCCTACACGTCATCCGGACACCTGGCCCGGCCTGCGCCTTCTCGAGACAGGCGCAGAGGACAGGTCATCGCCGCACCTCATTCCAACAATTATTTGCTCCCATTGTTTATTTTTATGCAAAGTACTTTTCCACAATTATTCGCATTTGGCTTTCTCCTTTAATAATTAACAAAAGATTTTTTTCCCCCTTCTCATTGCCTTCTCTTGGCCTTTATAAGGCAACCGCTACCCCATCTCACCCCATATCCGCTTCTAGACGCTTCACTTATCTCGAGCATCTCCCGTCCCTGTCGTCTCCTCTCGTCCTCGCTCCTCAGACTCGCCATGGGTAATTCCTCGCTCCCGCGTCGGATTTCTTCGCCTGACTGCTGTTCTCTCCTGCTCCGGACGCAGATCTGACCAATTGACTTATTTTTGTATTTTTTTTTCTGGCTGGATCTCTCGATGCAGGCAAGATTAAGATCGGAATCAACGGTGAGTTTGTACTCCCCAAGCTATGCTATTTCACCTGCTCGTTTGGTCTTGTTTCATCGGGTTTGGCCTGATCTGAGCGTGTTCTCTCTGCATCTGCGTTTGCTCAGGGTTCGGTAGGATCGGCAGGCTCGTGGCCAGGGTCGCCCTCCAGAGCGAGGATGTCGAGCTCGTCGCCGTCAACGACCCCTTCATCACCACGGATTACATGGTATGCGCCTCGATCTGTTGCTTTTGTTCCGTACATCTGGTAGGTTTATGGTATTTTAGGGTAGGGTCAGCGTGCTCGATTTGTTAATCAATAGCTCCCAGAGGTGTTTCGCTTCAGTTCTTTACTGGCTTTATCAATATCAGTTGGTATGAGCTGCTTGAGGTGTTGTGGATTTGATGCTTACTTCATCAGTGTCTGAATTTTGAAATCTGTGTGCTATGCTCATGGTTTATATGCTCCCTCCCGTCTTGCGCAGACCTACATGTTCAAGTATGACACCGTGCACGGCCACTGGAAGCACAGTGACATCACCCTCAAGGACTCCAAGACCCTTCTCTTCGGTGAGAAGCCGGTCACCGTCTTTGGCATCAGGTACTCCCCTCTCCTCTCCTGCTTGTTTCGTCCATGGATTGAGTTTGTGTGTAAGCTGTGAGCTAATGCTCTGCTGCGATTCTACAGGAACCCTGAGGAGATCCCGTGGGGTGAGGCTGGTGCTGACTATGTCGTGGAGTCCACCGGTGTCTTCACTGACAAGGACAAGGCTGCTGCGCATCTGAAGGTATAATTTCTGCTTCACGGTCTTTTGTTTGTTTCAGAATGTATGTGTTGTTTAACTTGTTTGGGTATCATGTTCTCCCAGATCCCAAATATATCCATTTGGGATGGATTGTACATGTGTGGTGCATAAATTTAGTGATGCCGCCAAGTAGTTGGGCTTAATGTGTACAAGTTTGCACCAGTAAATTCTTATTAGTACTGCTGCATGGAAGCTCAAGAGCTGCAATCAGGCAGTGCTATTTTTAGTATAGCTTCTTACTTCCAGTTGAGTTGGTCAGTTGTTTGACATGCTATGATAACATGAGGTTTTGGAATGTACATGAGTTTCATTGTTCTATAAGTGCTGTTACTGGACTTTGTATAGATATTGGAATTATTAGACCTGTAGTGCAGTGTCATGACTAGGATCTAGTACACCCATGTACCCTCGTTACTCTTATCACTTTACTTTTACTTGCTGTGTCAAACTACTCTGAGCTTGTATTTTTCTCTGTTAAATTGGATGTTTCTGATAGCTTTATTTTCCTTTTGAACAACAGGGTGGTGCCAAGAAGGTTGTTATCTCTGCCCCAAGCAAAGATGCACCTATGTTTGTTGTTGGTGTCAATGAGGACCAGTACACCTCGGACATTAACATTGTTTCCAATGCTAGCTGCACCACAAACTGCCTTGCTCCCCTTGCTAAGGTGTGTTGTCCTTCTCTTAAGCATTTTTAGTTGTTTCTGCTCTTCCAATGTAGAATCATTTATTAATGATGTCTAATGTCATAAACCAGGTCATTCATGACAACTTTGGCATTATTGAGGGCTTGATGACAACTGTTCATGCCATCACTGGTGAGTTCTCTTTGGCTGTTGAGCAATCTTCATTACTCCTAGGATTGTTCAGAAGGTACTTGTAGTTGGCTGTAAAATGACAACATGATGCTTGTCTTTCAGCCACCCAGAAGACTGTTGATGGACCCTCAGCCAAGGACTGGAGAGGTGGCAGGGCTGCCAGCTTTAACATCATTCCCAGCAGCACCGGTGCTGCCAAGGTATATGATAAAATTCACAATGTTGTATGCAGTGAACTCTGTATTGGTTGTGTGGTTGTTTGCACAAACTAGTAATCATTCGTTGGTGCTATGTTTTGTGTTCACTTAGCTTTGTGAATAACAAAGTGCAGTCCCATCTAAATGAGCATGCACATATGTCTTGGGATCAAACACTAAGAGACATTTTTTTATTGCTAAGCAAGTTTTTACTGAGATGCCATCTATGTCACTTCATCTTTTGTTTGGTGGTGGGATATTATTATTGTTTTGTCCCCCAATGTTTTGGCGTCCTGAGGTGCGGGCATCCTCTTTAGCTGAAATATCATGCTTCAATGTTTCGAAGGGTCATCACAAAAATCATGTATGTAGTAACCTAAAGTTATGTGTAGCCGCAATCATTCAGTTTAAAATTCATCTTTGATGTTGAGATTCAAAAAATACAAGTGTCACTGTCAGCACATGATGAAGTGTTCTCAAACATGACAACATAATATTTAAGCTAATGAGGATGCCCGCACCTGGAGATGCCTTATCTACAATGTTTCACCTCCTTTTGCTGCTTATTGTAGTTGTAACAAATTTGGTAGCTGTTCTGTTCTGTTATGAATATAGTTGGAATGCTTACTTTCAATATTGATGAATTGCAGGCTGTCGGTAAGGTTCTTCCTGATTTGAATGGCAAGCTCACTGGTATGTCCTTCCGGGTTCCCACCGTGGATGTGTCTGTTGTTGACCTCACTGTCAGAATCGAGAAGGGTGCCTCCTATGAGGAAATCAAGAAAGCTATCAAGTAAGTGATTAGTCTATTTATTTTTTAATATTCAGTCAATGTGAGTGTAATTTCTATTCTTTTTAAACCAATGTCTATGAATGTAATAACACTCCTTGTTTGATTTATCAGTACTATCACATTTGATGTTCAATGTTAATGTTTCCTGCATCTATCTTGATCTTATAGTAGTTTCTCTGTCCATTTTCTTAAGGATTGGCAGCAACATTGACTTAATTGCTATTGCTTTACAGGGCTGCTTCTGAGGGCCCACTCAAGGGTATCATGGGCTACGTGGAGGAGGATTTGGTTTCCACCGACTTCGTTGGTGACAGCAGGCATGCCTTTGCTTTGTATCATTTAGGAGCCAACATAACTGATTATCATGGCACACTGTCATGTCGAATTCTGACTGACGGTGTACTCTGATTCATTTGTCGTTTGTTGGACTTCTTTGAATGTTCTCCGTGATTCACTTGTCATTTTGCTGTTTCCACAGGTCGAGCATCTTCGATGCCAAGGCCGGGATTGCTCTGAACGACAACTTCATCAAGCTTGTCTCATGGTACGACAACGAGTGGGGCTACAGCAACCGCGTCGTCGACCTGATCCGCCACATGTTCAAGACCCAGTAGAGATTTTTCTGCCTCCCATCGAGGGTCGTCCCAATGGCCTTGGTCGCTGTCCATCCCGCTGCTTGTCTATGCTGAGAATAAATGTGAATGGTGCCTCTGGACGCCGGTTTCATGCTGAGTTTGGACATGTTTTTGTCTTTTGTCTTTCCATTTCCGCTACCATCCTGTATCGAATTCGCTAATATGGGACCTGAGTTTAGTTTTTTGCTTGTGAAGAATATAAACAGTGGGTTGCAGTTTTGCTGTATTAGCTGGTTTGGCTACATAGATGAGCTGGTCTTTGGGAATAATAGTTTTCTTGTTTCTGTGTTTTTAATCCTTGGTGTGTTCAATGTTATTTTCTGTGTATTCTCGTTTGTGTTATCAGTGGTCTCATGTTTCCTTGTTTTTTCTTTGTACTTTTGGTGGTTCCTTTTGTGCTAAGCGAGATATGAAATGGTGGCCAACGAAGCTGGGCACACTATGGTCTTCTGGTAGTAGTTGGAAGAATGATGTGTTTGCATTGTGGTTCTGAATTCTGATCCCATGCCCAGCCTGTGACCAGCTGATTGCGGTGGGCCATTGGTGCTCGTTTTTGTCCCGTTCGGTTTACCTTATAATCTATACTATTTAGCTTTTTTTTTTAGTCGGAATATTGTTTTTCTCATAACAACTCAATCAGAACAGTGTTTTTCAACCAATTCAGTCAAGTTTTAGCTAGCTGGACCTTTGTTGCAGATTCAGGCACTCAGCAAATGCTACGATTACACACATACTCCCTCGTCATAAAACATGGTGAAGACGTGAAATTACACATGTACCCCTATTATCTTCTCAATACACATCTAGAACTCAAAAGAACCCTTCAGAATCTTCACACACCTAGAACTCAAAAGAACCCTCTAAAATCTTCGCTGGAAGTGCAGAGTAAACATGATTTTTTAATTGCACGTGTATTTTTTTATTGGTGGGTCCTACCATGAAGCTTATCTTTAACCTAGATTTGCATGTTTTTTGGGATAAGATTTAAACTATAGGATCATATGATTTTTTTGGGACGGAGGGAGTAAGTTTAGTGCTGTGGGGCCACACTCCTGAGTCCCACAAGAGGGTAGGTAAAAGGAGAGGAGGAAATGAAGCTATGGTGGATGAATTCGTATGGTTGATGGTGAGGCAAGGTTGGCCGATCAGTAGCTTGCTCAGCTTGTTCGGCTGAGAGAAGCCGGCCTGTTCGACTTGTTTTTCCAATTGAGACACAGCAAAATAGTATAAACAGTGTTTTTCCGCATGAACGATGTTTTATCCGTCCAGCCGAACAAGCTACGATCGGCCAACCTTGCCTCACCATCAACCATACGAATTCATCCACCATAGCTTCATTTCCTCCTCTCCTCTCACCTACCCTCTTGTGGGACTCAGGAGTGTGGCCCCACAGCACTAAACTTCACTTGATCCGCCTACCGCCGGTGGGTCACTGTCAGTTTCGGGGACCAGGTGAACAAACAAACGAGGCCTGCCAAAGCTTTGCTAAGAAAGGATAGCGACATGGTGGTGGACTGGGGTGGAGCAGCGGGCCTGCCGTGCCACGCGCTGCCGGCCGGCGTACGTGCCGCCTCAACGCGACGACAATGGAGATGTAGAAGAGATGATACGCGTGGCTTCTTGTACTCGTCAGCCCTTGCCCCATGGCACACTGAGAAGCCAACGTGGCCCGTGCTTGACGTCATCCCTTGGTGCAGCGGAAGGCCAGGTTGGCCGGGACCTGATTTATCGGCAGGTCTCTGCTCACCTTTTCTACTGGTACTACTTCAAATCTGCGTCGGACGGTGAACCGGCGGTGCTTCGAGACGGCGTATACGCGAATGATTCCCGGCCGTGGCAACAAACCCCCAGTACACCGATTCCTCGCACTAGCAATTCTATCCTTATGATAACAATATTTATTGAGACACAACATTGTCTGCCAGTACAAGAGTCCCGCAACAAATTCACGAGGAAATGTACAAGGCAGCCCATATAAGCGTAGGCGGGTACAGCCCATAGAATAGGGAAGAGTCGAAGCGAGGCCCAAGATCAAGTGACTGGTGCTTAGCTTGTCGTGGAAGGCTGCGCTTCAGAATGCCACGAACCGAGAGCTCTTCTCACTAGAGGTGGCACTCCGGGTGGAGGGCCTATGCGATGACCCCGCTTATTTGATTCGAACTAAGGTTAAGCCTTACAAGATTGATAAGATTTCCAAAACTCTCGGGAATTTTCCCCGACGACAGGTCTACTTCCACAAGATTAGCTGCATTCCCTATTGACGAAGGTACGGCACCAGTGAACCGGTTCCTGGCTAGTCGAAGGCTAGTAAGCATCGCTGCATTCCCGATGCTAGAGCCAATGCCACCGGTGAACTGATTATCCTCAAGGTTAATGGCCCCGTTCGCTTCGCTGAAAAAATAAGTCGAAACACTGTTCCGACTGATTTGTTATGAGAGAAAAACACTATTCCAGCTGAAAAAACAAGCTGAAAAAGACGGATTATAAGAGAAGCGAACAGAGCCAATGAAAGTGACGTTGGGTAGGGCCCACAGCCCCTCAGGCACATCACCGGAGAGCGAATTCTCGTAGACCAAGAACCACGAGAGTGTCTTGCAGCTCGCATACGTCGCGGGAATCTTGCCAGAGAAATTGTGCCGCATCATGCTTAGACCTAGCATGGCGCCTTGCTTGCACATGTCAGGTGGAATTGGCCCCGCGGGGAGTTTGCCGACACGTCTATAAGATAAACTCAGTGATGCGGTCCGGGTCGGCGGAGTTGCGGTCACGACATTGAGGTCGGTCGCAGTGTAGTGGTGGCGCAGAGGCGGCGGTGAAGACGTCAGTGGAGCTTCCCGTCGTTTCAACGCCTCCCTCTTAGATCGGATTAGGGTTAGGACTGTAAGTGGGAGAAAGGCGGCTCAAGTGAACCTCGTGACGCGAGCCCCGGCCTCCCACCTCCTTTATATTGCGCTGCTCGGCGGGGGCCCACCATCCATGGAACGGTTGAGTGCCCCCGATCAGGGCGCGGATCAACCTAACATTCTCCCCCTTGATCTCACCTTATGACTTAAACTCAAAATCCTTTTCACTTTTTCCCATTCCATCTCAGATTAGCGCATAGAGCGTGCATCGTCACAACAGTTAGTACCATTGGATTAACAACTACAACACACCTCTCTATTTTGAAACAGATTCTCAACTAGACTCTTATTGTTCAGGAATCATAGGCTTTCCCTTAAACCTATGCCGGCTAAGTGTTTTCTGAACACGTTGGGTGGTAAGCCTTTTGTAAGCGGATCCGTGAGCATCTTTTCTGTACTTATGTGCTCAAGACTAATTATATGATCTCAGACTTTATATTTTACAACATAATACTTTATGTCAATGTGTTTGGCAATACCACTTGACTTATTGTTGTGAGCATAACATACTGCTGGATTATTGTTGCGGTACAACTTGAGTGGCTTATGTATGTCGTCTACCACTTTCAACCCGGACATAAATTTCTTCAGCCAATTTACCTGCCCCGTGGCCTCATAACACGCTACAAACTTGACATACATCGTAGACGATGTAGTGACACTCTGCTAGGAACTTTTCTACGATATAGCTCCTCCTGCGAGAGTAAATATATATCCTGACGTGGACTTTCTATCATCTCCTGCATAATCTGAATCTGTATATCCCTCTATGTGTAGGGAATCAGATCTTCTATACGTTAGCATGATGCCTTTTGTGCCTTGCAAGTAATGCAAAACTTTCTTTACCAGTCTCCAGTGTTCTATTCCTAGATTACTCTGATATCTGCCAAGTAACCCGGTAACAAACGCTAAGTCAAGACATGTACACACTTAAGCATATTGTAAACTTCCGACAACTGAAGCATATAGAACCGCTTTCATTTGATCAATCTCATATTGGTTCCTGGGATATTAGAATTCTCCAAATCTATCGCCTTTGATTATGGGAGCAGGCGAAGGCTTACAATTTTGCATACTGTATTTCTTTAGAACCTTTTCTAAGTATGCCTTTTGTTATAATCCTAAAACCCCCTTTCTTCTATCTCGGTGAATCTCTATTCCTAGAACGAACGAAACTTCACTGAGATCCTTCATATCAAAACTCGAGGACAAGAACTTCTTCGTTTCTAGTAGTAGATTAACATCACTACTAGCGAGTAAGATCTCATCCACATACAAGATTAGGAAAATGTATTTTCCATTCTTGAACTTTGCATAAATGCAATTGTCCTCTATATTTTCTTGAAAACCAAACTTCCTTATTGTACTATCAAACTTTAAATACCACTGTCTTGATGCTTGTTTTAATCCATAAATGGATTTCTTCAGGCAGCATCCTATGCGTTCTTTTCCTTCCACAACAAAACCTTTTGGTTGTGCCATGTAAACATTTTTCTCTAAATCCCCGTTTAGGAACGTCGTCTTTACATCCATCTGATGTAATTCTAAATCGTAATGTACTACAAACGCTATTATAATTCTAAAAGAATCCTTATATGAGACTAGAGAAAAATGTCTTATTGTAATCTATGCATTCTCTTTGCGTGAAGCCTTTCCTCACGAGTCGCGCTTTAAATCTTTCTACATTCCCTTTGGAGTCATATTTAGTTTTGTAGACCAATTTACAACCTATTGTCTTGGCTTTTTTAGGAATTGTATCTAAGTTCCAAACACCGTTGGTATTCATTGATCTTATTTCATCTTGCATGGCTTCAAGCCACTTTGATGAGTGAGCGCTTCTCATGGCTTCTTCAAATGAGGTGGGATCACCCTCCATTTGAAATTCTTCACATTCATAGACTTCAAAGTCATCAGGAATGGCTAGTTTTCTAACTCTTTGAGACCTTCTAGGGGCCTCGTTAGTTGACGCTTGTTCTATATGAGGCTGTTGTTGCTCTTCCTCATGTGTGACAATGGGTTCTACAGGATCTTGAAGGACAGGTTCATCATGTTCATTCATTGTCGCCAAAGGGAGAA